GTTCGTATACACGCAGTGGCCCGGGGCCCTCGGCTCCAAACAAAATTTCGTTGTGCGTGTCACAATAAAGATGCACACGCACAACAAAATTTTGTATTTTGTAAAATCTAATGCACCACTGACTAAAGTACCAGCCATCTCTAATGGGCAGCTTCTGGGTCACTCATTTGCTCTATTCAGAACAACATTAAAATACTGCTCACAGTAACAGATCAGTAACGTAAAAGGAACTCTGCATGAGGAAGGTATTCGGTTTCTTCCTGCAACGCACTACTGTTACAGCATGTAAGCTATCTGCAGTACTCTTTTCACTACTGAAGAAGTATACTGTCTATCTACTGAAAATCTACTGAGGTTAGTCTCTATTCTATTTTGTATTTTACTCTGCTTGTGTATATTTACTGCTATACTTTGGTTATTTAGCTTTTATGTATAATTCAGCCTTTCAGTGTGTTTCTTACCAACCTCACTGTTTGCTGTGATTTATGCAACGTGGTTGTTGCAACACTATATTCCCTTTAATAATTTACTCCATCTAAAATCTGGTTTCAGTCATGAACCCTTTGTGGACACTGGATGAGAAAAGAACACATTTTCCATATCTTTACTGCCTTGAAGCCCTGACAGGATTCACAAAGTGGAGGCACTGCAGCTTTACTGCTGTCATAAAGCAGATAAAGGTGTGGTGGGTTCTCCACCCAGAGTCCATCTGAACTAATAAAATGAAGGCGAAGTCACACTGCGAAGCCTGAGCAATGATTTAACACTGAGTAGAAACAGATCGTGACACAGCCAACGGCAGGAGGCGCAGACCGGCCTCTGGCCTGGGCTCAGGTCAACACTGGCAGCAGACACGGCGCAGAGCTGAGGCTGATGGGAACAGCATTAGTTTGGTTTAGAAATGTTCAACTGCAGCCTGGCGTCGTCTCCTCCTCCGCTGTGGTGTGTAAACTCAAAGTCTCAGATACACCTGATGATACAGTTCCAGTTTCAAAATCCTGCTCTTCATATTTATAGGTGGCTTTAAAATTATCCTTCAAACAACTGAAGGAAAACTATTACATGATAGGTGTAGTACGTGAGAGGACGGGTGTAGTACATGCGAGGACAGGGAGGGGCAGAGCAAACATCAAACCCCACAGGACACGACTCCCTGTGGGGTTCTGGTGTCTGGTTTTGTTTTCTGCCGGGCAGCAGACTGTGAGCTATCGTCTCCCTGTGCTCTGTAGGAGGAAGAGCCGAAATTCCCCACTGTGGTGCCAGTGCGAGACTTTGACCCGGCCAAAGACGCCGCCAGGATCGAGGCAGCCATCAAAACAAAAGGTGAGAAAGTCCAGCAACACTCCACCTGTGAGCTCTTCGACAGTGATCCGACTCCTCTGCTGTCACTGAGTGGACGACAGCACAAAGAAAGCCCCACATAAGACCACTGTCAACCCTTTTGTTAAAAGCTTCAGCTCTCCCGTGTCCAGCCCAGATGGTGCAGCTTAATTACTGGCTATTTTCTGAGTAGACCCTGAAGTCATTAACATGGAACTGTGGAGTTCAGTAGATCACAGTGTCAAGGTCAAGGTCAAGAATCTTTATTTTCATTATGCATAGCACAATGAAATTTTTTGCTGGGAGCTCTTGGCTGAAAAGACACATTATTTACATAACACAAAATTGTATAAGTCAATATAAAAATATGAACAGATAAATAAGGATGTATGGGACCTAATCAGGTCAGCAGCATGTTGGCAGCAAAAGAGTGCAGTAACATTATAAAGTGCAGCTCAGTGCTATTCAGAACATCTCCATCCATGGAATCTTTTAAAGTTGAAATTAAACACAAAAAAGTGAATGTCTTCATTAATCTGTTCCCTGCAGGCGTAGATGAACAGACCATCATCGACATCCTGACCAGACGAAGCTACGAGCAGAGGAGAGATATCGCCTTTGAATACGAACGCCTCGCCAAGAAGGTTGGATGCGTGCCTCCTTTACTGAACAACACAAATGTTGGCCTGAAGATGAAGTGTTTTATTCACTAATCTCTGTAAAATACTGAAGTTCAGGTGATTATGTAACAAAACAGAGAACAAACAAAATGCAGAGCAGGACATTCAACTTCAACTGCTGCAGTACCAAAACACATGTTTTTGTAGAGCTGCTATTTTAGAAATCGCTGGTGTTCATGATTTTCTAATGACGCTGGTCCAGTCTTCTGCTTTGAGACAACACTTTCATTTCTAAGCACAAGTTTTTACCTGACATCTCTGGCTGTGTCCATTTTCAGGACTTGATCACGGCCCTGAAGGGGGCGCTGTCTGGCTCTCTGGAGGCTCTGATACTGGGTCTGATGAAGAGCACCGCTCAGTATGACGCCTCTGAGCTCAAGGCCTCCATGAAGGTCAGAGTCACACATCAGTTCAAGTCTGTTCTGTTCTGCAGGTTGGTCCACACTGATCCTCACCTAAAGCCTCCGGAACAATCCACGAATAAACAGCCATTAATTTTTTGACAGAATGGGTTGAACAGATATTTTTACATTAAGGGGTTAATGCACAACAATAACATTTCTCATATTCTCAGTTTTAGAGATATACACCACATACAACAAAAAAGCATGGGGTCATGTCTAAAAGCCCCCAGGGTCAGCAGAGGAATAAAGCAGCTGCAGCTCTGAGATGTGTCTGGGAAAGAGATGTACTGTAATTGTGATATTTGATAAACACAAATGAGACAACATTTACAGCAACTCTCTAAAAATATCAAAACAGTTTGGGGGGCTGATGGGAAAACAGCTGGCATTTGTTTCGGAAGGCACAGTGCTGGATTATACTACAAAATAAAAACATGTTCAGTTCCTTAGACATCTGCAGAACTGCTGTCTGATAAAGACTGAAGTGGAAAATCACAGTAACTACAAACATGCTGGATTAAAACTGAGATGTACTGAGGCGGTTTCCCTACGTGCAGCCTGGGCCCCATCCCAGCCTGTTTGACTGCATCATGTAAAGCAGTGTAACAGTGTAAAATGTCCCACCTGATAGTGTTTTTGTGTGCAGGGCCTGGGAACTGATGAGGAGACTCTAATCGAGATCGTCTGCTCCAGAAGCGATGAGGAACTGGTGGAGATCAAGAAGGTTTACAAAGACAGTAAGTGTCAGAGGCCTGTGGAAGGCTCGTTCCAGTCATGTCCAATGAACCCGAGATGAAGAGTTTGACCTGCAATGGAAAGGAAACATGACAAAGTTTATCTAATTTGTTTAAGTTTCTGTGTCTTGGTTCTGCAGTTGTTCTTACACTTCAGGTTTTGTACAGGTTACACAAAATATAATGTGTAAATCAGTGAAGTTAAGAGACACGAGTTCCCCCCCATTTCCAAATCCTGTGCTAAGCTAAAGCTTTGAAGAAAGGTAATAAGCGTACTACCTCAAATGTTTAACAATTTCTTGCAAATCTAAACTTAGTGTGTTGATGACTAAAATTTGCGTGCAGCTACAAGATAAGGTTCACCGAGAGACTGCAGGATATTCGTAGCAGATGGTGCAACTAGCTAACATCACAGTGGTTTCCTCATTAACCACTGCTGTTTACTGCAGTCACGCATCAGTGCGGCTGCCATGTTGGTACAGGGAAGCCCCCTAATGGAAGTACATATATATGAAGGCAGGAGGTCTGTCCATAAGTAAAATCACCATAACTCACTGAAGTTACAGCAGATTTTCCTGTTGTTTGGTTTGTTACAAATGTGAAAATGTATTTATGGTACAGGAAACTTGGTTACATTCAAATAAAATAATAATAATATACCTTGTTTGTTACTTTGTAGTAACAGTGATGTTTCTATAATATTTGTGATTAACTTAGCTTTTGTAATTAGTTTCTAAGTTTATTCTTTTGTCTTACTGCAGTGTAAAATGCGGCAGTGAGACCATTCTGATCACTATTTTGGAAATAATAGAGTAATGAGGTGCCTCTCACAGACTGAATGCCTATGAACCTGGCTAACATTAGCTTTATTATAAACTTACCTTACAATCACTCTTCTTAGTGTTCACATGTTTTAATTCTGTTTGCAGTGTTTAAGAAGGAGCTGGAGAAAGACATAGCAGGAGACACGTCAGGAGACTTTGCCAAACTGCTGCTGGCTCTGGTTCAGGTAGATCAAGGACCAGGACAGAACCTGGGTTTTTACTGTGAAAAATCCTTCTTATTCTAACAGACTTCTCCATTAACCCCACCTTATTTGACCCCTTTTAAAAGTGTCAGATTCTGAAATATTTAAGAACACATTTATTTTGTTGTATGTTTGAGTTCACAGCACTGTCGCCAATGGTTCTTCAGAATTTTTTGATTATGTTTTTGATCTACAGACAAAGAGAGATGAACCCTCGAATGTTGTCGACTATCAGAAGATTGATGACGATGCCAGGGTGAGTCAAACCATCCACATGTTCATTATAGAGGGTTTTAAAGCCCAACCCATCAGTCGATCCCTCACATACCCGACTGTCTTCTGTCCTCATGTATGACCCTCTCAGTCTCTGTATGAGGCCGGGGTGAAGAGAAAGGGAACTGACGTGGCGACCTGGAACTCCATCTTCTCCCAGAGGAGCATCCCCCACCTGCAGAAAGGTGCACGACACCAGCAACACACACACACAGGCCTTACATCTGCACGCACACAGTGACAGATTAACACCATAAGATTTATGTTAAGTGCTTTTTTTTAACATCTAATGCCAGTGGTTTTTGTTTTTTACCTTCAACAAAGCCAGTGTATGGAGCCCACTAAAGATCTTGTGGTTAAACAAAAAACAATGAGAGCCCATGCACACAAATTGGTGAGATGAGCGCTCAAAACAGGCACACTGATCAGTTTACCAGGCCTGGTGAAGGTATTTTCTGATCCACCAGATGTAAACTAGAGGGAGGGGGGACAGTTTTACAGCACACAACTGTGAACATGTTGAGGATAATTTTACAGCGCCCCCTAGGTCAGACAGCTGAAGGGCCCAGTCAACCAATCTGTTTAGTAATCTAGGGATATGGATTCTCATCACACACCCCAGGGGGCTCTGTAGCAACACCATTTCAAATTCAGTGACAATATTTTTGACATTCAGTGGAATTTATTTGCTGCTGCTCCAAGAAAACACTGTCAGCTGTGTCTTTCTGTTATATTTTAGTTGTTGTCCTTTTTCATGTGTGTTTTGTGTGTGACAGTGTTTGAGAGGTATAAGAGCTACAGCCCCTACGACATGAAGGAGAGCATCAGGAAGGAGGTGAAGGGAGATCTGGAGAAGTCCTTCCTCACTCTGGGTGAGTTCAGGAAGGGGGAGGGACTGTGTTTGTTTTTTTTTGGAGCAGCAATTAATCCCAACAAAACAGAGTGAGGTCCTGAGGGAACTTCACAGTATTAAGAATATTACTGATGGCTGAGATACTAGGGGAAACTCTGGTTGTTCTGGAGTGGAATGGGACTGAATAATTCAGAGGTGTCCATTAGCAGTGAAGAAAGGCAGAAATCCAGTGACAGTGGATGTGTCCTCTAAGGTGGCAGGTGCACTAAACGTCCATCTGTCCTCTCTTCACAGTGGAGTGCTTTGAAAACAAACAGCTGTACTTCGCCAACAGACTCAACGAAGCCATGAAGGTACTTGTTTCACAGTTTTGTCCATCATTTCTGTCAGTGATAATAATAAATGATGATGCTCACTGTGTTCTAGGATAATGTCTGTGATTTTGTATGTCTGTGCTCTTTGCCACAAACCACGTCCAGAGACTGGCAGCAGCACTGAGGCCAGTGTACTTGCTGTAATGTGTGAGTCCAGACCCTGGTTTAGCTTATCGGTCTGTGCCATAGGCCTCCACTGCTGTCCACCACGTGTTGTTTCCTCAGGGTAACGGGGAAGGCGCTGGCGAGCAGACCTGCATTTGTTTTCGTCCTCCTTGTTGAAGTCTGTTCTCCTGTGTCTCTGCAGAGTAAAGGGGCCAAGGAGAAGGTGGTGACCAGGATCATGGTTTCTCGCTGTGAAGTCGACCTGATGAAGATCAGAACAGAGTTCAAGAGGCACCAAAAGAGGTCACTGTACCAGGCCATCGCTGTGAGTACCTGTCTGCCCTGCTAGAGAGGACATTCAGTATTAAAGAACAGCTTTACAAGACAGCACGTGTTAAACCAGTGGCTTCCAGACTTGTTTCAGGCAGTGCAGCTGTGTGTCCTCATTTCACACATCTGAGTTGTTTTCAGAAACATTTTTCTTCTAAACCTATATATCAGCACTGTGTTTCTTCTGTCCTCTCCATGAACCATGTGACTACCTCTCAGATTTGTCTGGTGACCCTTTGGAAGGGCCCGACCCCTAGGTTGGGAACCACTGGACTACACTAGGATCACTCATTATCAATAGTCTGATATCACTCACAGGAAACACTGATGAACACAGTAATGCATCAGTCACTATGATCCAGTAGTATCAAAGACATTACTATGACACGGGCCGTTCTGCAGGATGAGTACTGGTACTGATGGTACTGCAAGTAGATTTGGATGCTAATGTTTTTACTAGTATTTTACACTTTGGTATTTCTAGTTTTTCTAAAGGATCTGCATATGCCTTATGATTACAGTCATGTTTACCACTCGTTCTGTGTGTGTTTCAGGAGCACACTAAAGGAGACTACCAGAAGGCTTTGCTCAGTCTGTGCGGAGGAGACGACTGAAACCTCAGCTCAGACTGGACTCAGTTTCCAGAATGCCACTGGGTTTGAAAGGCCTTCTAAAAACAGTATTAGAGCCCTGTTTGTGCTATATCCCAAGATTCAGGGGTAGATATGTTTGTCCCCTTACCTTACCCTGACCCTGGCCAGTTACCTTCCAAGTCTTGGGATCTAAGATTTACCATCAGAGCCCTGTTTTCATGTGACATATATTAAGTCTCGTCCATCTGTCTGAGCCGCTTCTGTTTCTTAAATAAAAAACATTTCACCAGTTTGTGTCTGTTTGATGTTGGATGAAGCGAGCACAAGAGGGCAGCAGAGACACACAGATATGTTCAGCTCTTATTTTGGTATTTTGGTGTCCATCCTATCTTTTTCCCAGTTCATCTCTGGGGTGTTGGAACAGGCGACTTATGAGCTGGGAGGGAAACCTGTTGGTACTGGTTCCACTTTTCAATTCTCAGGGACATTTTAGTTTTACTCGACTACATCACATTTCTATATACAAAGCAGGTCTTATACACCATGAAGCTTTGTTATCAAATAAACTACAGTAAAGAGCAGTAAATAACTGTGACATCACCATCTGTGCCTCAGTCAAACATCTGGTCAACAGGGAGCAGAAACGTCGCCCAGAGAGCACCGGGCCTCCTCCTGCCTGTCGGCTTCATCTCCTGAAGGGGTACAACAGGGCAGAGTATTGACCAAATAAAACCTGAGCCTCATGTTTCTCCTGAGGACGGATCAAAGTTGGTATTTGATGGGGAAATATTGGTTATCAATGAGTCCCCAGCAGACCGCCGTAGACACACATTGGAGATGTGTATTAATTCATGTTTGATAATTAAATCCAGTGGAAGTCAGATTAAAAGCTTCCTCCGCTGCTGCTTCAGGTTGTTTCTCCTTTAATCGTTAGTATGTTTTGTATTGTTTGTTTGCTGCTAATTTTTTAATTAAAGATCCTAATTTTACCTCCAGCAACAGTTGCTAATTTGCCTTTCTGCTGCAGAAACGCAGTGATTCTGCTGTTTAGACTGACTGGGAAGAATGTACGGGAAGAAGTAACAGCAGAACCTAACTGTGAAATGTAGTCCCCACTGAACACGCTATAACTGACAAACCACTGAGATGATGGCACAACATATTTCATTCATCTTTCTACTTCTGTCTGAGGTCTGAATCCCTTCTTTGAAACTTGAATAGTTCCTAGATGGGCAAGTTTAAAGCAATATTTCGAGCGTTAGGTTCCAACATTCAGACAGATTGGTCTGGTTACAAAGTGTTGGACACCACAACTAGCAGCTTCTCCTGTGCCTGCAGCCATCCCAGAGTCACTGGATGGCGCTACAGTGAGGCGCAGGAACGAGTCCAGGACTTTGCATGTGAATCTGACATGTCTCAGTCTGATGGTTGCAGCTGGTCTGATCAGTGTCTTCATGTGAACTTCACTGTCAGCTGCCACAAGAAGACGCTGTGTTTGTGAGCCCGTTTTATTTTGTCTCCTGTCAGACCGAGACAGATGGACAGACACATCACCTATCGCTCTGCTTCACTCACCGCTCAGTAAGAGGTGAGAAATGAAGCTTCATGTCAGCAAAATCTCGACAGGGAGGGAGATTTGGAAACGTCTGACGAGGACGTCTCAGCCTGGATCTCCAGCAGCTGGAGGGTGGACATGTTGACAGCAAGTCCACCTGACAGGATTCACAAAGACTGAACCTCTGAACAGATCTGAACAACTTCACATCGTCATTATTTCAAACCTCGTTATAATTGATTTCCTGTCTGTCAGGCAACTGCAGTTCTAAATGTTAGTAAACATTAATAAAAGGTTCTACAATAATCCATGAAGTCTGCAGATGTCAGTATCGATAAACATCATAAAAAACAGATTTAGGTCCAGATGTCCTGCAGCTGTTTTCCAGCATTTGGAGAGGTCTCCCTGATGTCTACAACCTGGCAACCCAGAAGTCGTTCCTATTAATTAATATGAGAGCTGCTCTACAAAGCACTGGTAAATAATTAACCAGTAATGAAACATTACTTAAACCTGTTATGAATGGTTCAGCTCATTGCTCTGTGCCATACACCTCCACTGTTGTCCACCAGCAAGCTCGATGAACACTACACTGAAACAGAGGTCACTGAGGTCAGGACTGACAGACAGATGATGTCTTAATGAAGTCAGCAGCAGCTCCCCTCTCTGCTCTACGGGCTGAGCACTGATCTGCTGACCTGCACGAGTGTTATTTGTTTAAAGCAGAGCTAATCCTCAATTGTCACACTCCCATTATCCCTTCCTTTTCATTCCCATCATCCCCCTCTCTGTTACACTCTCCCCGGACCTTCAGACAAAGCAGAAATCACCACGACAGCCACTCCAACATGAACCAAATGTCAGCCTCACTGAGCCGCAGACGGGTGAGATAATTACGTTTGTCCATCGCCACTCATCAGCCGCCATCTTCCTCCTCTGACTGCCGGTTGCTGAGACAGAGAAAAATCTCATCTGAAGGACTCTGAAGGCGACACGAGGAGAGGAGGATTTGTTAAATACAGCACCAAGAAGTCTGAGTTCAGGACTGATCCACCTTAATATCCAAAAGTTTCTCAGGTCTGAAAGTCACAGAGAAAGTTCTGAATGCTTTGTGCTGTTCTCTGTGGTTAATTAACACAGAGGCTGAGAGGACAGGAGATTTTCAATGACAGCAAAGCAGAATTTATCAGACACAGTGTCTGTAAAACATTTAGCGTTCACATACGACAACTACAAAACTCAACAAAATCATTTATAGAATGATTCAGGTTCATCAGCTAAAAGTACTCTGGTAAAAGAAAGGACAGATGCTGGTCGCGAGTCTTCGTTAAACTATGGTGACTGGTGACTTCTTGTAAAATAAAAAGCAAGACTAGCCTTTCAGTATGGACAGTTTTGATGTGATGATGCTAACAGGGTCCAAAAGCTTACTGGGCAATAAACCAAACAGTTTAGCATTGTTAGCTTAGCTTCTCACAGTGTTAGGTGTCTTAAACATTCATATGAACGTGGTACAAGTGAAGAAAAGTGTGCTCACTGTTTTTACAGAGGACTTTAATCTGTTCAACAGCAGAATCTAAAATAAATTATAACTCTTTATGAACGACGCCTGGTGATTTAATGCATCAGTTATTGCAGTGGCATCATGAGTTCCTGTCCCTCATCCTTAACACATGATCGAGCCACCATGACTTTCTGTGGGTAGTTCATGATCATTAGGGAATGTTAATTTACATTTGCTTCATACAGGTTCCTGTCAGGTCCATGCATCTGATCAGCTGTGAACTGGACAGAACTTCTTCCAACAGAAATACAAAGCTTTTGTCATCAGACACAAACAATGTGGAAACACGTCTACCTGTTCTCTTGTCATTTGTCAGACTGAGCCTGCTAAATGATTCTGGTTTTAGCCTAGTACACTACACACCACAGACAGAGTGTAGAAAGACCAGCACTGAGAAACTGTGTCCAGACTGTGGACTGGTACAGTATCTGGATCCCTCTGTCCATGTGTTCTCCACACTGCCAGGCCAACATGAGCCGTCTCGGTGCGGACAATCCGTCCTCTGACACACAAGCACAAGCTGTGAATGTGTTTGTCATTGTTGTTCTAATAAATCTGGTAACCAGGCAGCCCCCTGTGGAGAACCACCAGAGGGCATGTTGCCCTCCCTCACCCCCTCACCCTGACCCCCTGGGTTACCCCCGTCTCTCCCACTCTGTTCTGCCTCAAGGTTAGTTTTAATGGTGACCAGCAGAAACACTGCAGGTCAGCTGTTTTTCTCTCAGGGAGCAAAGTGAAAGCTCCCTGCTCTTGTTCATCTTCTCTTTCTCATTTGGACAACGCCACAGGCCCACAGCGACCGACCCCGACGTCAGTGTTGCCTGCAACCAAGCAGAGCTGCGATTCGGTTGTTGTTGACCAGTTCTCTGACATCAGGACTTTAGGCTCGAGATAAATTCACCTGGCAGCTGTTCCTGTGGCTGTGAGCATCAAGAGCAGTCACTTCAAAAGACACAAAGACTACAGCAAATCGTTCCTGCATAATCCACAATAACAGATCTGAGTAAAACCATTTAGTATCTCTTCAGCTCAAATCAGGGCTTCAAGCCATGAATCATGATGAGCGCGGCAGGCTGCCACGAGGACAGCCCCCCATCTGTAAAATGAACAATTAAGAAGCAGGCGGCTAATTAAGCTCCGAGATCAGTCGCCTTTCTGTCTCCAGCCTGAAGGAGGTTTCTCCACCGGGCCTTTGATCAAAGCAGCGCCCCGGGACGGAGCCCCGCGACGGGCCCCGCGACGGCACGGCACCTCTGGCTAAACATAGATTAACACGCAAATGAAGCCCGGTGCTAGAACTTTAAAATTTTTATTTATGCCTGCCTACTGTTAATCTTGCCATTTCTTCTTCAGCTGCTCGTGTTCTTGGGGAATGCAGAGTTCATCAGGGCCTGCATCCTCACTTTCATGTCAGGTCTCCTTGACTGAGGCTGAGGAGTCAGGTAGCAGCATCGTCAGCCTGCAGGCTGGAGTCAGCCTGGTGACGCCCGTGTCTGCTAATTCACCCTGACATGCTCCTGATGCCAGCCCTTCATTATAAATATTTTTAAAGGGCTTCCGCCCTCGTGCACGCCCCGTCCGGGACCCGGGCGCTGCGTGTACGAGTCTTTGATTTCTGCTCCTCCGTGGGCTTCAAGCTCGTCATAATGACAGCACAACTTGACAGCTCCTCTTCACATGCCTCTTGTCATCTTTTGTGGGAAGTTTTGCAACGATTAGCATAAATATTTCATCTCCTTCCTCCCTGCGTCGTTCCCGCTGCTGAAACAGGATCCGGCTGAAAGGCTGCCGTGTCCCAGAGATGTCACTGAGCGCTGGAGGAAAGCGACAAACCTTTGTAAAGTGTACTTTTCTCCCCATTAACAGACAAAGACAAAGCAAGAGAGGAAAACAGCCGAACACATGTACCCTTTGTGGAATCTTTTATTGAACACAATTTGAACAAAGAGCTGAGTTTGATTACGAGGCAAAAAGCCTCAGTGAATTGCGGCCTGCGAGTATGCAAATCTCCCTGCTGCATTTATGAAACTCACTTGTACACATTATTTACTTCACACCATCTTATTTACATTCTAGATGGAAAGTCATCCGCTGGAAGTTTACCCAGGGAATCGTCGCCCCTCGCTGCGCAGTGTGCACTGCAATAATGACAAGTGGGAGAGAGTCAAAA